ATTTGCCACAATGTAACACTACTCTGGGTCCTAATCCACAAGATGTGCAAGCAGTGTCTCTGCCTTACCACAATGTTGCTACATGCACATACATTCCCCTTTCTCTCTGCCATCGCCACTGACATGGTATCCCTTAATGTAATTTTCTACATATCCATTGGCCACCAGCCCCCCCAGATAGCACAACCCCATTCAGAAAATTCCTACCATTTTTATTCTTTGAGCTCCCCCCTTGAACTTGAAACTGCAAGTTCACAGGGCTGACCTTTGATAATGTTTCATCTGAACTATTGTATAGCCTCACATGCCAGTCAAAACTGTAGAGTTGCAGTTATGAGCCAGGGCGGTCCAAGTACATGTAGCACACATCATTATGTGCAGTAGGAATGCCTACTGAAGTGCACTCATGTGGTCTCTTTCCACCCTAGTATGTACATGTACATGTATAAGCATTATTGTGAATGTACACGCTCATGAGCTCTATTTATAGACCATATGTCACATGACTTGATGGTGTTCTGCATTCCGTCTGGCACCATATTTCTGGCATTTGCCCCTTCAAAACACACAACTGACTGAGTTGGCTTCAAAGTGGGAAATGCTGCTGATGTTTTTTTCACAAATTGGTTTTCCTGGCATTTCAAAGAAGGTGAGAAGATGAGGTTGGAAGGCTAGATATTCAATTCATAAACTGATGAAATTTCTGGATTCCACTTACATGTATCCAGAGCAGAGGTATCAAATTGTATGTATAAGTGCTATGATTTATTGTTATTGCTGCTTAGTGAATAACAAGTTGATACGTGGGTACACTTATTTTCAGATTTCAGACCAGTGAATAAGCTTAACCTGGCTACCACGAAATAGCAAAAAGAACGGTTCCTGTACCAAAACTTTTATCCTGTGTGAAAGTTTGTAAAATGTGGCTTGTAAAGTCGATAGTTTGCAAAGGACAAGGACCCCATGGAGAGGACTTCCATTTTCTGAATAATCATTTTACGACAGAGTGAAGGTGTTATCATTTTTCAGACTTGCAGTGGGCATGGTACGTGTAAGAGTTTCTTATTGTAAGGGGAGAAGTTCTCCCAAAACTTCTCAAATTCACTGGATTACACCCAAAACAGACAAAACATGACAGGAAATACAAGTGAGACTGAAACAAAAAAAATGAGGACAAGCACCTCATCTCACCCCCCTCCCCGGCCCTCCTTAAATCAGGGAAATTGATCAATCAGTATGTAATCAATGACCAATCAACTTTATCACATTGACCAAGTATACGTAAAAGATGTTAGGTTTTTCTATTTAGAACATCCTACATGATTCTCATCTACATGTATATGTAATGGAAACAAACCAAAGATGTGCTCTTTAATGTGTCTGTACAACCCTCAACTAGGCAAGCAGAGCAGTGCATGATGGGATATCTGTAATTGAGCTGCAAATGCAAAAGGGCAAGTGTTAAGACTCACTGATTGGATATCAACCACAGCTCCGTGATTCCAGGACGTCAGGGCCTTAGTTACCAAGTATCCCTCCGCTATTTTGCATCAATACCCTCAACCATAGATACTCATACATGTACATGTAGAATGGTGGACACATGTAATCACTTGTTTTTGGTCAGTCTGTCAACATGTAAATCAATATAAAAATGCAGAGAATGCCATTAAATTAGTAGATGACCAAAGAAGGCAACACGACAAACACATTCCTTTGGGTGGTACAGCACAAGCTGACTTTGCTTTGACATGCTACAGTATATATTTTTGCATCTCTTCCACATTCCACATGAGGGACTTTTACCTGAATGGACGACAACAGATGCCCCAGATGAGGGTACATGTACATTATTTCCATGTGATTTCCTCAAGCTTAACCTGCGCATGGTTTCCCATCCAAGCACCGTACTATGCCGCCTGTCAACACTTCTCAACTTTGGTAATACATACAGACCACTTACTTTCCTTCTAAGAAGCATCAGGAAAGATAAATCCTAACAAACATGGACAGCGTGTGGGCAATTTGTAAATGAAAGCAATAAATGCATGTACCGGTATATATGTGCCAAACAAACGCCATAACGGTAGCTCAACTGCGGTGCATCATTCTGACCTCGTGTCACAACAACCCTGACCACAGCACCAAGTGTCTAATATGTAAAAGAATGCGTACAATATTTTTAAACAAGAGTTTTCACTGGTTAAATTGCTCTCATATCCACAGTACAATTAAGTAGTTACACATGTACAAGTACCATACATTACATGTATTGACAGAAAATGATATGCAAGACATCTGCAGTGAGCTTATCTGAGATCCAAAGGGTACATCCAATCGGTGAATTAACATCTGCAAACAAACCAGATGACAGGACTCTACACGTACATGTATATGTCTGGTGCTCACAGAATACCCTAAAATCTATTTACAAACCATGTCACATTTATACTGGATGATGTTTCTATATTTCTCCAGTGCCACATGTATCTTTCTGGAATCTTTCTGTCAAAAACCAAATGATTGAACATCAAGGCATCGTGGTAGACAAGTCCTGCCACTTCTTCCACCAACGGTTTGCAGGTGATTTTTCCAAGACTTCAAAGGTGAGAAAATAGTTGCAGTTGTTTTGGAGACGTTTAAAGTAGAAAGCTGGTATTTATAAACTAATGGATTTTATAAACTGCACTCATCGAGGGCGGGGGATTACACTTTGCTTTAGAACACTATGTGTGATAAAGTTATTTTATCATTTAGACAGAACTTGTATATAACATGTAAATATGAAGGCAAGAGCAAATACATGTATCCGGTACTGTATGATCTAAAACACCAATTGTCAATTCTAATGTGCCCATCAATACTAAAGAAAATGAATAAGTTTGGCACAGGATGAAAAAAGTCAGCTCACTGCAAAAGGTAGTTTGTAATTACCAATTATTTTCAATTCCAATCTCATTCATGTACAGATAACTCTGGCAAAAGCTTTCTTGATCAGCTGGTACATTCAATGTGACATATGCCGAGACAGATGAAATCAAAAGACCCTTGATTGTGTGTACAGTTTCTGTCAGAAATGTCTAGAGTAATTACATCATCACTGACGACAAACATGGTCCAAAGATTCCTTGCCCCGCCTTTCACTAGTGAAAATATTACTTGGCTATAGTAATATATTAACCAGTTCATATTTCCTTTTTTGACAATCGATTGTGCAGGTAATAATGGCAACAGCTCTTGAAAAAATTGGTCGACATCTTGAATGTGATATCTGTCAAGAAAGATACAAACGGCCAAAGGTCCTAGACTGCCTCCACAATTTCTGTCAGAAATGTCTCGAGGAGTATTACAACAGCAGATTCAAAGATGCTCCAAAGATTCCATGTCCTAAATGCCGCAAGGAGACACTGCTTCCTCAGACTTGCATTCAAGATCTGAAAACAAATTTCCATTTGATGGGAATCGTCGAAGAGGTCTCTGAGCAGGAAAAGTTGGACCGTTCACAGGAGAACAAATGCCCCAAACACCAAGGGGACAGGAAACGGTTCTACTGTGAGACATGTCAAGAGTTAATCTGCAGTAGCTGTGCGGTGTTAGACCACTGTAAACCACAACATCACTACATTGACATCGGAGAGGCTTCTCTCAAATACAAACATTCACTGATAGATATGATTTCAGATTTCAGAGCAGATATAAAACAACTTGAACAATCTTTGGCTGCTTCATCTCAAGTTAAGCAAAAGTTAACAACAAATGTCATAAAGACTGTGAAAGCTGTGCAGACCACGGCAAGTAAAATGAGAGCTGAGATAAGAACTCAAGAGAAAAAGTTGATAGATGAAATTCAACGAATTCAGCAAGATTGCTACAGAATGTTCAATGAGCATCAGAAAACAGTGACCACAATGCTTCAAGGAAAACAACATTCACTGGCAATGGCCAAAGATTTCATCAATACCACATCGGAGAATTACTTTCTGTCCCTCTATCCTGCCATCAGCGAAGACTTGGAATCACTGAGGAGTCCACATCCTCCACAGATTGATCCCAAGCTTTCATATCTAAGATTCTCTCAAGGTCAGAGGACTGATGAAATCAACTTGGGTAAGCTGGAGGTAAAAGCAGACAAGTGGGAGACGTGCCATGAATTTGGGAAAGCAGGAATTGGTTGGTTTTTTAGTCAAGAAAAGCTCAGTATGCTTCAAGGCATTGCCGAGACTCAACCTGGTGAAATTGCTGTGGCAGAATGGAGTAACAAGCGAGTGGTAATCTGCAGCAATGAGGGACAACACAAGGAAAACATTCCTCTACAATCACGTAAGTTTTTTGACTTACACAAGCATACATGTACATGCATGTCAATTCACATATTGAGGTAAACTAAATCGTCCATGTACAAACAAAATAAATACTGCACTGGATTTACAGTAAACGAAGCCACAAGATGCAACACTGCACAAGTATTATATGTACATGTATATGTATTCTTATCTTTCTACGCCATGTCCATATTTAACGGTTATCCACTAACATGATGGCTGGTGGTTGACAAAACAAAGTTAAAGTGCTTTATTAATTCATGTGTTCCTTAAGTGCCATTTACCCTTACATTTCAATTCTTCTTAACCCTTAGCTCCACGTGACATCACAGCTATCCACAATCATGACAATCAGTTGGTGGTTGTAGATGACACCAAGTATGTCAAGGTGTTCGATAAGAAGAACAAGCTGGCCTTCCAGTTCCCCACAGTGCCACAGAGTGAGGTTGACAAGCCAGATGTGGACCTCCACAGTGTAGCAGTCAGGAAGGACGGCACCATCCTAGTGGGTGATGTCAAGAGGATGGTGTGGACGGAGCATAGACCTACTGATGGTCAGCTCCTAAACACCATACCAGTGCAGACTCCACCGTACTTCCTGGCTGTTGATGACTACACTGACAGTATTGTGGTCAGTGGAGATGACAAACAGAGAGTGAATGTCATTACTAGCGATGGTACAACACTGTCCACAATCTTACCGACCATCAATGGACAGCTGGTGAATAACTGCAGTGCTCTTTGCTGTGACCACTCAAACATTTATGTTGCAGTGTACAACGAGATTGGCACAGGTCACATTCACCACTATGACCTGGATGGTGTTTTTCTTGCTTGCCTGGCTCAGGATCTATTGCTCCCACAAGGAATTACGTTCACATCAGGGGGGCAACTGGCCTTGGCTGACTGGAAGTCAGTCAAGAAGTATCACAAGGTGTGATGTCATCCAGTGTGACACTGACTAGCAACCCCCTTCGTCATCAGAATCCCAAGAGCAAATGTTGATGATGAAATTGTTTTTTACTACCACGTAAATAAACCTTCATGCCCCATCTTTCCAAATCGCACACATCGCAAACATCAACATCATTAATTTCTTCTCGTACTCTCTCTCTAAGATGGTGATATTCTGTGATTGTGCATTTTTCAAAATTACAGTTTTGTGTTCACTTCTTTCACTAAACAGAGACTTTGAAACACTTTGCAAACTGTTTCATCCTCATTTTTAAAATGTAACCTTCTTACAATCTGAAGGACTACTCACATTAAAATAACTGCATAAGAAGTGTTTTATAATTGATTGAAATGTATTTACTCGGACACTTGTTCACTTTTTTGCTGTTTGCATGTGGTACATGTAACTTGTTAC